AGGCCCTTATTTAAATAAGCCTCTACTTGTTGCATGAAAACAAGGGTGGATTTTTTCAGCTGCTATCAAGCAGCTAAGTTCAAATTAACCTTGTTCTTGAATTAATACAAAACTGCCAGTGGCTGGGATTTTATTGCCACACAGTTGTAGCTGCCGTAAGTGTGTTCTTTTTCCTACCACAAAGGACTGGAAATGGATGGTGTCTCCCAGAGTCTAATTGCTCACAGAATGCATCCCATCTCCTGCATAATGCAGGAGCTGTGAAGCAGCTTCCCCTTGTAAAGCCTTCATATGTTACAGGAGGCCCAGACTGTGCTCACTGAATTTCTCTTTGCAGGGCTTGGTGGGGGCTGGACTGGCTGACATGGCCAGACCAGCAGAGAAGCTCAGCACAGCACAGTCTGCAGTTCTCATGGCCACAGGTAAAGCCACACTTACTCTCTGTTTTCACACAGAATCTTCCATCAGTACTAATACACTTCTACAGAAAGCCTTAATTTCAACATGCTAGCTGTCACTATTGCTGTTGGATGCTGATTCTAGGCCAGACCTCTACTTGTCATTAAATCAGTAAGCATTCTGTAATTATGTAACAGTTTTCTACCTGTCTCAATTTGGCATTGTTCAGCACAAGTTGCTACGAGTTAGGCATGAGTGTCATCCCTTACATGCATACCATCCAGTACATACCTGTAGATGTCCCTTAAGTTACCATGATACCATTCATTGCAGTAAGTGACCTCTTTTCCTTCAAATCAAGTAATTTTGAAATCAGTCCAGGATACAGTGACCTTTTTAGAACAAGACTTCAAGGGATTTAAGAATGGTAGGGTAATTACACTAACATAAATGGAAAGAATTTCCAAGTGTTCCAAGAAATTGGAAGCAGTGGCACATGGACTACTGCACTGCTGTCTGCCAAGAATTCTCACACTGGCAGAAACAGTATTCTGTAATCCTAGAATCATTTAGGTTGGAAAAGGCTTTTAAGATCATAGAGTCCAACCATGAAGCCAGCACTTCCAAGTCCACCACTAAAATGCATCTCTAAGTGACCCAAATAGACTTCTTAGAAACACCTCCAGGGATGGTTCTGCACCACTTCCCTGGGCAGCTTTTTCCAATGCTTTTCCTGTCTCAAAGGGTTCTCCAGACTGATATCTGATGCAGTCCTGTGCATTCTGCACAAGTTTTGAATAATCTCCAATGTAGTGCAGCAAGCTGGATAGACAGCAAAATACCATTACCCTGACTCTTCTGGAGAATTAAGGTCTAGGCTGCTGTAGACTACAGAGGATCTTTGATATTCAGACTATGACTTACCTTACTGTAGCTATTTCAGAAAAATGCAGTACATACCTGTAGATGTCCCACTGGCACTCTTCACTGAGAAAAAGGTAGTTATAAGCAAAGAAGTTGTCTAACATGAAGTTATGAAATTTGTTTACTTCAACTGACCTATGAATCTGCCTCCAAACGTAGGGAAATAGCTGAATATTTATTTTAAATAGTCTTTAAACTTGCCATTTTTTTCAACAGGCCTTATTTGGTCAAGGTACTCCCTGGTGATTATCCCTAAAAACTGGAGTCTGTTTGCTGTGAACTTCTTTGTTGGCTGTGCTGGTGCATCCCAGCTTTTCCGAATATGGAGGTATGCATTAACAAGGGTACAAGTACAGCTAAGCATTAACCAGCAATTTATAAATGCTGCCAGCCTGTCAGTGCAACAGGCAAGAGGAACTGAACCATTGATGAAATGTTACAGAATGTTTTTGCTACATTGTTAGTTTTACAGTTAAGTCGAGTGAAGCTGTCAATATTTTCAGTCTAGCTAGAGCTGCATCGAATCTGTGTCAGTTCCAGCTGGATCAAAAAGGCTTTTAAGCAGAGCAGCATTTTTCAAAAAAATTGTTTCTTGGATGAAATTTTAGGAGTTTTCTGGCTTCAGTACTGGCCAGAAATGTAGCAAACTTAGCTACTTTGGAACTTCCTACAATAATTAAGATATCCAATCCTGAGTTTCCACCCTCAAGTCCATTGTAATTTTAAACCTCCTCTGGTGAACAGATTGCTAGGAAAACACTGTTATTGTAACTGGTGTTCTATTCTATTCTTAGCCTGTGCTCTCTCTTTTTTATTCCTATAGGTATAATCAGGAGCTAAAAGCACAAAAGCAAATGCAATAAAGAGATGCTTAACCCAACAGGTCAAATCTAGCAACGCACAAGCCCATCCCCATGGGACCTAGCTTCACTAATTTTAATGTTTTTTTTCTCTGAGAAAATAAAGGAGGAAAATAAAGAGAGCAAATGTTTTCTAAGTGCAAATAACCAAGTATCTCCACACAAATAAAGGGCAACCTTTTAAAATGAAGGCAGAATTGTTTGTCTTGTATTGTCTCTTTAAAGAAACTGGCTGGATTTTGTCTAAAAAGAATTGCTGAGCCTCACCTTATCTGACTCCACTGAACAGTGCTGGGAGTGACACAGTACTGGTGACAGCCAGAGCCTCAGACTGAAGTGATCTCTCCTGTCACAGTCAGAAAACCACCTGGGTGAGGGTTTGCCATATTTCAATAGCAAACAGTAGTATTTACATTTCATTTCCTGATGCTGTTGCTTCCCTGGTAGCATAAGGATATTTGTTCCAGCTTCAGCTGTGTGTGTCTTCATTTGTTCCCCAGCCACCACTGCCCTGAAAAAAGAGACAGCAAACAAATGTGCCACTGGTGTTTTAGCTTCCTTCACAACCCCAGGCAGAAGATGGGGGTGTTGAAGCACCAGACTTAGAGTCAGGAATTCAATGCAGGGGAAAAGATAACTGAGGCAAGGTAGGTTCTGATGAGTCTGTCAGCTCCCCTTTTCAAAGGCTGTGCCACCATGAAGTCAGTTCTCTGCTCTGCCACAGTTCCACTGGCATGTCTTGGTCCTTGTGGCTTGGTCCTTGGTCCCAGGGTCTCCAGTGGCAAGTTCTGCAGCTGTGTTGGCCACCAAGTGGCCACAGTGACTGAAGAAGAATACTGCTAGGAAGAGAGGTGGTGTATTCCAGTCCCCCTCCCTTCCCAGTCCCCAACCAGGTAAGACTCATCCAGCAAACCAGTAATGGGAAAAAAAAAAGTGTATTAAAATATTCACAAGATTACAATAGAAAACATTAAAGTCCATTCAAGAAAAAATATCCAAGATAACTGTTTCCAGATGAGTCTGTAAAAGCAAAAGCACTAACAGTTGGTACACTGGCTCTTCATGTAATCAGGCCATGCAATGCATATCTAGCTCCCTCACACAGATTATACACCTGTCTTACAGGTGTTTGTTGTCTTGCACACCTCCAGGACAGAGGTTTATAAAAGAAAAGTACCCAGTCTATGTTTTCAATTACATTTACCACATAAGAACAGTTGGCATTGCAGGGAGACAGAAAACATTGCACAGCACACTGATCTCCAAAGGCATTGAACTTATATTTTAGAGTGCAAAAATACCTGTAAATGAAAGGGCTTATTAGCTTTAGGGCAGTGAAGAGAACGGAAAGAGAAACCTAAAGAACAGAATAATTGCTGAGCCTTGTTAATATGATTTTGTAGCCTCCCATATAAAATGTTACACTGCAGAGGTGTGGCCATAGCCCAGAAGTCCCACCCACCTCTCTTGGTGGTTTTATTAAGGAAGTATTTCCATCACTGTGATACAATAACTTTTTGCATTTGAGGTCCTTGGCAGATACACTAGTGATGTAGAATTCCAAGACAAGATTCCTCTACAGAGTGAAGGTGTTCTGGTCACAAATCAAAAACTCCATACCTGACCTCAGTGAATCCACTCTAAGGTGATGCAGCTTTTAAGTTGCATGCACACCTCTAGTGCAGTTACAAGACAGATGGTTACCCAGACAGTTCTCACAGGTTTAAAAAGTTTAAAAACCTAATTACAGCTCTTGTCACAAACTGAAGTACCACTAAAGCTTTGAGAGAAAATAAAACCCTACAGGTCTCCAGTTATAAATGACACATCAGGCAATGAGTTGCAGGGGCATATCTGCCCCCCTGTAAAGGCTCTTAATGCTAACATTTTGTGAACATGATGAGCATCTTCCTCACAGAACAACTGCTGAAGTCAAAAGGGGCCATGGAAACCTGATGGACTGAGTACAGCTACCAATTTCCTTAGCTTGATACCTTATTTGTAGTCCTCTTGAAATTCATTTATGGTAATCAAAAATAAGGAAGATTTCAGTCTGATCCCAGTTTTGTTTGCATGATGAATAAGAGAGAATTTATTGCAAGTCTTTCATCACACAGGCCCTCCCATGTCCACTATCCAGGAGCAATGACCCCTCCTGTTTTAGTCACTGCCTCAAGAGAGGTGCCTGCTCCTCCTCTGGGCTGCTGCAAGCCTGGCATGCAGCCCTTGTTTTGAAAATAGATGATCCTAAAAAGAGCTGGCAGCAGTGCAACAACAGGACAAGGACACCACCCTTCATGTTCCTCAAAATCCAAGCTGTTCTTTTCCTCCTGCAAGGAACAGCATCAGCAAATTAAGAGAACAACAGCAGCAGAGCAATCAGAGTTAAACTTCTGGTCACCAGAACAGCAGAACCAGACCTTGTCTGACTGAAATCTGCTTGCTCTACCCATCAAGGAAGAGAAGTCCTCTGTCTCCTGAGGCTTTTCTAAGTAAGCCAACTCAGCATCAGTCCCTTTCATCAGCACAGGTTAACATATCATTAAACCATCTCAGATAACCTGAGGAACACAAAGTTCACAAGTGTTGTCTCACAATGCCTGAAGTTCTTCTGACTTCAGCATGAATACATTACTTAATAATTATATTGCTCACTTTTCCATTACCAAAAAAAAAAAAAATTAAAAAAAATCAACAGCCTTGGCACTGGAGTGGGATTCACAGATTTCTGCCATTCCTGGGGGAAGACTTTTGTTTCTTTCCAAAAGGATGTTTAGTGTTTTTTAAAAACACTTCCAAGTTCATTGTGCCTTCATAAAGAGGACCCAAGAAGCCTTGCAGGGAGCCTCCTCAGTGTAGGCAATATGAACATACCTGTAGCCAGACAAGAGCCATGCAAGGAGATGTCTCCTCAAGTCAGTTAAAATCAGCCAGACCAGCGTGTCTCCTAAAGTTAGCACCAGATCAGTCCTAAAGTTAGCACCGGATTCATGTGCTTCCTAAAGTTAGCACCACATCAGAATTGTGCTCAGATTTTCCAGTACATTCCAGCAGGAAAAGAAGCAAACATTAGTAGCAGACTTCAGAGGCAAGGCCAGCCCCATCTTCTCATAGCAGCAAGTTTCTGATCGCCACATTCATCACAATTCTCCTTCTTACTCAAAAATGCTGGGGGAGCAAGATGGTGATGCACAGGGATGAACACAGGCAGATCAAAATCAAGTTTCTCCATTAACCACATCCAAAGCATAAGTGTTTTATTAAGTGTAAAATAAATGTTGGGAAGTAATAGCCTGATAGATAAGGAAAGCAGCAGCAGCAGGATTCCTCCTGAGCTTAATCATAATTCATACTAGATTGGAAGGGACCCATCAGGGTCATCGAGTCCAACTCAATCCTACAGAACCACAGAATCACACACTGGACTGGGTTGGGAAGGACCTTAAAGATCACCTGGTTCCAACCCACCCACCATGGGCAGGGAACCTTCCATCAGACCAGGTTGCTCAGACCCTCATCCAACCAGACCCTGAACACCTCCAGGGATGGGGCATCCACAGCTTCTCTGGGCAACCTGTGCCAGGGCCTCACCAGCTTCTGAGTGAAGAATTTCCTCACTACAGTCACCAACACTAGCACTGCAGCAACCAAGGCAGTGGATCTTATCAACAGAAGGAAGCTTGAGTGGACAAACTACCCCTGAGCATTTCTGGGGTGAGCAGGTCCCACTCTGTCAGCTGCCAGCACTGGGTACAAGCACCACAGCCCTTCATGTGCAGTACTGCTAAAAAACACATGCTTAATCCATGATACAGAAGAAGATATTTAAAGGTCTCCTGTGAAGAAGAAATTTGTCCATTTTTCATCTTGTATGTGCTATTGCCAATAAATAAAACGCTAAAATATTTACAGAGCTGTTAGTTAGCCACAGCTCAGTTCTCTACAAGACTTGGCAAATACCTGAAAACCGATGCTTTAAAACTGAAACATGCCCTTTTTTTGATACCAGCCAAATCTTGGAAGAAGAATTACACAAATTCAGATATTGCAGGATTAGCAACTGACATATGGCAGAATAAATTAATCCATGATTTCCTTCTGAGCCCCAGTTTTAAGAAGCTGGTTCTGGCTTTGAGGACAATGTCCTAAGATCTACCCAGTGCACGTGTACAAAAATAAAGCTGTTGATTTCTAATAAAGGCAGCTGTTGTCAGGAAACCAGTGAAGTCTGATCCTGATGGAAGAATATACTGTTGGCATACCTAATTTTCTTGGGAAAAAAAACCCCAATGTACACAAAATAAATATTTAAATTGCACTGTCATAATTAAAGGATTATCTAAAGTGGTTGTGAAAGGGTCTGCCATGGGCCTGTAACCATTTTTCATGTGCTTGGTGTTAAGAGTCAAATGTGGGCTTGAGTTTGTTTGGAACAGGTTGCCCAGGGATGTTGTAGAGGTCCCACCTGTGGAGATGCTAAAAACTGGGCACAATGCTGGGCAGCCTCCTCTGGCTGAGCCTGCTGGAGGAAGGCCGGATGATCTCCAGAGGTCCCTCCAACCTCAACCATTCTGGGACTGATTCTGAAACAGACTGAACTAGGAAATGGGCAAGAATCAGAGAAAAGGGGTTAGTTACCATAGACCAAACTGAAAACTATTTGCTGCCAAAAAACAACCCAACACAAAACAAAACCACCACATTGGGATGTACAAAACAGAAATCCTTCTTCTATATGCCACTTTGAGAAGATCTCTGCTGGAAGGCCACTTCTAGTTTTGAGCACCAGATTTCAGGATACAATGGGTCAGCAAAAGAAATCCTCATCAGCAGAGATCTTTAATAATCTAGGAGGAGTTTAACCCAGAAAAAAGAGGCTGGAGAATTGTATTCAACCACTAGACTTGCAGAGATTAAGGAAATAAACTGCCCATCCGCATCTTCTGTGCAAATATTGGTCACACAAAAAAACCACACATCAAAAAACCCATAGAGCCCTAGATTTCCTCCAGAAGTTGTTCAGCCTGCACTACAGGCTTTTAAGAACAGATAAAGCACTTCCAAGGAGGTGACAGTGGCATAATGGAGCCATGGGAGAGACGTATGGGAGTACTACAGCTTCCAGATCCCTTGGAGCCCTTTTTAACACATGAAATGACAGAGCTTTGAGGAAGAAATATTTCACTGAAAGGTTCAACAGAGTCTGAGGTAACCACCTACAGCTACATCCTCCTATGCCTTTAACTCACTCTCCTTTGTTTTCACAGGTAAACTACCATTTCACAGAATTAGATCAACACTACCCCTGTCCCTTAAAGGACTAAGCTTGAATAGCTGGGCTCATGGAGAAGTAAACAGTTTTGTGACCCACGTTACACAGGTCAGGTAGGCCTAAAGGTTTCCTTCACTCACACTGCTAAGACATACATTTCTGATAGCTAGGAGTCACAATTTGGCTTACATGACCAAGTGAGAGGGTCCAGTTTACACGAGAAGGCAGCCTGTACTGAGAATCTGACCAAGGAAAGATAAATACCCTGTATACATAAAGAATTCTGAATATAAAGAAAATGTCTTCTTTATAGTCACCTCAACAAAAGAAATTAAGCCCTATAAGCAAAGAAAAAAAGAATCTCCAGGTCAACCTAGGCATCTTCCAGTTTCTCCATTAATAATCAAGATAAAAATATTTTAAAATTGTGATCTGAGTTTTCACTTTCTCTCTCGTCACACAAGATACAAAAAAAAAAAAAAAGAATATTGGCAATTTATAAGCAAAATTCTTACCGCATTTCAACATGCAACATTGGTCTCACTTCTGTACGATTAAATAGACTATTTACACACAATACATATATATCTCTCCCTCTGTATGCACATGCATTGGTCCTAGCCTAGGCATCAAAGGCCACATGTGAGAGTTCTCTGGGTCAAATCTTGCTCAAGCAATTCCAGTCTGAATGTGTGTTGTCCTTTGGATGGCTGAGGATCTCAGTTCTTCCGAATGTCGGCGTAGACCACAGACTCTGACTTGTTGATCTTGTCGCTGTGCTGTCCCCCGGAGTGATCTAACTGCGCGTAAATGACTGGGCCCTGCGGACACAAGCAACAGGCACGGTCAGCTTGGTCACAGCTGCCCACACTGCCCCTCACTGCCAATGGGGCTGCAGCCAGATGAACGCTAAAGCAACACCACGGAGCTTCAATGACTGCGAAGGGCACTGGGAAGCGGGTGGAATGAACCCTCAGCTGCACATGAGCTCCAGTCTGCCACCTTTCTCCCCTCAGGAGCGTGCCAAACAGCACCCTTGCCTCCCTCCAAACCTGCCTGCTGCCACAGAAAGCAAAATCCAGGATCCCTTGCTCTGAAAAGCAGCAATTCTCGTGTGCTATGTAGCAAAGACATGTGGCTTAGACAGATGCATGCCAGATTTAATATTGTTCTAGAGGAACTGTTCCAGAGGTTACCAGTCAACAGCAGAGTGTACTTCCCAAACTGCTGCTCAGGTCCTGTAAATCCCAGCATGGCTGCACCACTTGGAAAAGGAAGCTGCAGCCACCCTGGGACTCAAGTCACTGCCCAAGCCAGTGATGGGGCCAAGACTTGCACAGCAGTGAGCCAGAAGTACTAAAATGCTGCAGCAGCACAGAAATCTTACCTGACCTCCGAGCCAGCCCAGGCAGCAGCAGCTCACAGACACCTTGGGCAGCCATGGCCTCACACCCTGTGACATTTGCTGGGGTGCATTACAGCCCTGTCTTTCAGCTGAACATGTGAACACTTCCTTAAACACCACATCCTCTAAAACATAGCCCAGGGAAAGCCAACTGCAGCTACTGATGACAGGACTGCAACCTCCACGGAGCAGAGCTCCAGCAAGACAGGTGGGACCTTGATGGCAAGGGAGCTGCAGCTCCCATGCTGAACCCCCCAGCTGAGACAGGCACAGGGCTGCCACCACACAGCCCATGCAGGAGGCAAAGGGACTGTGTTATCTCAGGATGACTGGGGGGGAATTAAAAATAGAGAGCTTTTAGCTGAATTGTGGCTTTTTCAGCAGTTTTTCCTTCAAAACCTTTCATCCATTAAGTGTTCTGGTGTTCCTTATGTCCCAGGAAGAAGTAGCCTTCACTGGCACTCCTCTACTCCCTTCTTGCCAGTACTTTTGGAATCCTGACAAATTACAAAACATTTGTATAGACCTGATACAAAATTTTTTTCCATCTATTTTCCAAAGCAATTATGAGCCAGAGAAGAAAACAGACCTTCTGTACAGAAAATTAAACTGTTGAAAGACCACAGATACCTTCCTGCACAGCTGTTTTCCCCCCAGTACAGTGGCAAGGCTCATACCTGATAAATACCTTGTTCTCTTTGAGAAGTGATTTAAATCCACATTTTATTCCTTCTGGGTGAAGTATTTCCAAAGTAATAAAGAATAGAGGAAGAAGATTGACTGAAGGGTGAAAACTTGCAAGTAGGTATCAAACCCTGAATATAAACAACACACTGAGAAAATGAAAAAAAAAGACACTGACGTCCTAGAAAACCCTGGATTTCAAATCTCATTATAGCTACTTTTTAAAAAAACTTCTCTGCTATTTGCTTTCATGTTGGTCTGGTCTCCAACACTGTATTGAGATTAATAATTCCAATCAGATCACAGTGTCTATATAAACTTCAAGACAAAGTAACTCTGAAGTTTAATTGCAAGCAGTTTTGGAAATCTCTTCTGCCTGAGGCCATAGGTCAAGGGTATGATAAATTCAGCTTGAGAGCACTATCAGTTAAAAAAACTATAAAAATAATAAATCTATCTGCAGGAAGTACTCACTGTGACATTCCAAATTTTGTTCAAGTAGTTCTGCTGGGTCAATTGTCTACCAGTGGAGTTCACTCAGTATCAGTTAGCACTGTACTGGATTTTTGCCAGTTTAAACATGGTCACTGTGCTGCCAGCAGCATGTTAGTGCTGTGGAGAGACTGACTGCTGTGATCAGCTGATCCAAACCCAGCTATCGTTGTCTCAATTTGCTCACTGTCAGTCAACTAAAAAAAGTGGTAAATAGCCAATACAGAGAAAAGGACAGACCAAGGATTTAGTGTAGTGTTCATCTATTTGATTCACTGCCAATTGATTCTCTAGCTGACTATAAGCATCACCTGGGCCATTTTAAAAACTGTCTTAACAATTCAGAACTTTAATCTAATCCCAAGTAAGCTCATCCTGACTCTTCAGAACCAGAAGACAGACCAGCACTGCTATATAAAACCAGCATTTCCTGAAGCCTTGCAATTTTTCCATTCAGAATTGAAGGGAAAAAGAGCAGCAGGTGTACCTGCTAAGGGTTTGACAGCAGTCATTAATTGTAAGTTACAAAAAAGAAAAAGGAATTACAAAGTTAGACCACCATGGTCCAACAGGAGTCTATAGAATATTCAAATTTCTCAGATTCTGAATGATGTTGCAACTACTACAGATTCAGGCTCTGGGAAAGTTATCTGAAATTTCAATCAAGATTCTTGGCATTACAAAGTGCTCCTTCTCAGGGTCCTGGGATCCAAACAAGGACATCCATGTGGGAAATCCATGTAGTTCTTGCCTTCACTGTAAATCATTTCTTACCCACACAAATAACAGTCCTGGTAGAACAGCAGTCACTAGAGAATGATGGCAGGGACAAGAACCACCACAGAGAAATCTGACAGGACAGAACAAACCTGCTGAGAAGGAGGGCACAGTGAAAACAAGCAGAGCTGATTCAAGCAGCTGAACACTCACAGAATCAGATATGCAAACTCCAGAAAGCAAGGTACACACCTAAGTAACTTGCACTCAAAACAAAGGAGTGCAGGCTCAGTGCACTTTCAGCTGAGATGTGATGCAGAAAAATACTCAATCACTGATTCCTGAACTGATACATAAATTAAAAAATGAATAAACTTCATTTAATTCATTTAAATGCCACTCTAAGAGCCAACACCTCTGCTACTGTTTCTAACTTGCAGAGGCAGTTTTGTTTGTATTCACAGTTCTTTTCCACCAGTGAAGTACAAAGCATTCATTCACTTCCTACACACCCTACCTTGTAGAAAAGCTCCAAGGAAGACCACAGGCCTCTGCTGTTTGACCACAGCACTGACTGTGGGAGCCACTGGTCTAAAACTGCCAGGCATTCCAAGAGACAAGAGTGTGCCTGAATCAGCAAACAGCCTGCAACAGCTCTGGGAACTGCTAGGAATGAGTATCTGCCTTTCACCTCAAAAGCTTGAATACTACAACTCATTTCTTCATTACCAAGAAACACTTGTGTGTGATAAAAGATCTCAAATATGTTGATTTGCCTGCTGATAGGACCCTTAAAGAAACAACCAAACAATGGCTAGAAGCTAACAATGTAAGTCCAACTAAATGAAATTTAGCTTCCTCACCTCATTTATTTAAATATTCTGTTCAAAATATGATCTACCCTGATTTCACTGTGGATCTTTTTAAAGAAAAGGAAATATGTTTAGTTGTTCTGTAAAGATGGGGCAAATGCTCAACAGGAGGTAGAGAAACTACTTGCTGCTACAAATGTCTGCCACAAAAAGAAACTCTGTTTGCCTGACAAAAGAGATTAAAATTCTAAAAACTAAACTAAAACTGAATGAAATAACAGCCATTTGCAGTATTTTTCAGTTGAGGTCAGCAGTGCTCACACTTTGTGTTTTCCTTTAGGAACTTACCTGCAGGGAGAACTCTGTCAATGAAGAAACAGACTGCAGTGACTACAGAAGGGCAAAAGCACCCTGACTCTGAGTTAACAATACAAAGTTTAGATTTACTCTGCTGCTCCTTCTAGCACAATGAGACTCAGAACCCTGGGGACACGGAAAGGTGAGGACACTGCAAGTTTTCACACCAAACATTGGAGTATTTTTGCTGTGAGGATGCAAGCACAGAACAGCATCTGTGTGTAGCTCTCAGGGCACTTGCAAGTACTCCTTCATGCCATGACAACAATTAGCTTAAACTTTTGGGGTTTCTGACCTATGGATGTTGACTCCAACAGCTACTGTATCATAAATCTCAGTGTGCTGGTTTTGCAAAATTTTTTTTTGAAGGAGAGATGGTGGGAATTACTTGTCTCACTCACCCATTCCAGAAGCATCTCCCATGATCTAGAAAAGACAACTTTTATCCAGGCCTTATAGGCAGCCTGCTGTTACAAGACCTAGACCAATCAAAATCTGACTATTTTTAAATCCTGATTTTATAGCCTCTGTGAGGAACTGATCTCTGAAGGCAGAAGGTAGCTTTGTGGGTCTGTGTGCTGAAACTTTGGAAATACTGCATGGCCCTGAACAAAATGCATTTCAAAACCAAACCAGAAGCCCAGCAGAGTAGGAGCTTAGACTATACTGAGCTGACTGTCAGCACATTTATTTTTTCCTGTATTGTTAATACATCAACACACATCTCCATTATTGTCAGGAGAAATTAACAAACCAGGTATTGGCTTCCACATACTACACTGCTGCCACTTGCTAAAAGGGGGTTAATCAAGAAAAAGTCCATTTTGAACTTAAACTCTCTCAGGACCTGTATCTACACAAGAAAATTGCTAGGAACACTCAAATCGAGGGAAGAAACCGCTTCCACATAAGGAAATCCTGTACTACTAACAGGTAATGATCCACTGCATAGAATCCCTGCCTGACTCATGCTCTGTCCCCTCCCATGGGATGCTAAGTCTGGATAAAAGCCACTTTTTCCCTTCAAAGTCAGCAGAACTTTGCCAGACGCAGCAAGCACAAAGACTGGCACTTTCAAGCCCACAAAAGTTGGGAGGCTCCGCAGAAGAGAGCTCTGAGCAGCACAAATCATCTGCAAACTGGTCAGCACTTAGCTCCTCCCCTTGTGAAGGAAGTACGTGCCATGGAGCATGAGAGTGCAAGGCAAATTCCTCCCCATTACCATCCCAGAACAGACTAGGCAGCTCTATGGGGTGATCCATATCTGACAGACTGACTGTGTCTGTGTTAAACAGATGCTCACTGACCACTCCCCATCCTTGCACTTCACTACCACCTGTGCATGTTAATGCACAAGATCACAACTGTGGCTATGATATCTTCTGAAAAATCTTTTCCTTAGGATTTTTTCTCCTGAGAAGCCTCAAAACCAAAATGTAAACAATGGTTATCTGCTGCTGTGGAATGCAACAGGTAGATCTGTGACTGGTTAATGGCCAATCACAGTCAGCTGGCTCAGACTCTCTGTCCAAGACAAAAGCTTTTGTTATCATTCCTTCTTTTTCTATTCTTAGCTAACCTTCTGATGAAATCCTTTCTTCTATTCTTTTAGTATCGTTTTAATATAATATACATAATAAAATAATAAATCAAACCTTCTGAAACAGAGTCAGATCCTCATCTCTTCCCTCATCCTCAGACCCCTGTGAACACTGTCACACACAACCATGGCTTTTTTATAATTTAGTATGAAAAGTGCTTAAAACTCCATCTCAGCTAATACAAAGATGCTGCTCTTAGAACTGCACCAAGCCTTGTACAGCAGAGCTCAGCAGCCCCAGCTCCCTGCGCGCCCCTTGTGCAGCACACACACTTTCACCAGCAGACAGCCCCTGAAGCACGAATCCCACCCTGCCTGGATGCTCTCCACAGCAGCTGGCCCAGGCTGGGGGAATCCTGCCTGGGGAGCAGCAGGAGCAGTTACCTGGTGTGATCGGGCGGGCACGCTGTTTACCAGGCCCTCTGTGTCGGAGGGCGCCTTCTGCGGAGCTTGCTTAACCGGAGACATCAAGCTCTCAGAGGTACTGCAGCTGACGAGGTGGCAGAGCAGAGTTTGCACGACAATGTTCAAGAGGCACACGAGAAACAAAACAAAAAAGAACAAAACAAAAAGAAAAAAAAAAAAAAGAAAGAAAGAAACAAAAACAAAAGACGAATGATGGCAAGATGAAATGCGGCAGGTTACGCCAAAGTAAAAAAAAAAATGAACATAATGGACTCTGAAATAAACACACACAATTCTCCATCTCTCCCGAGACATTTCTCTGTCCTTCCTCTGAGCTTCACTGGGAGGAGCAGCTATTAACATAGGACAGCAGCTCCTCCACAACCCCTGGTCCTTAGATACTCTCATTCAACTCAGCCTCTCTAAAATCATGTGTTTTCTCCTCAGTTAACAGTGGTAAACAGCAATTATCTTCTACCTAGAAGCTAAACAATGCCAGTCACTGAGGCAAGTGTTGTACCAGTGCTAGTTAGAGCCAACACTTGCAAGAGCCACCAGCTCTCTCTACACAAGCAAGGTACTTCCTACCCAACTCTGCATTAGTTCCCTTGCTTTTATAGTTAGGCTGTGAGTCCAGAATAATTCTCCCAGCAGACACCAGTCTGTGGAGCAACTACCTTAAGAGTCACACAGGACATTTATGCTGTATGCTCTCATATAGCTACTTGAGTATCTAATCAGGCAAATCATGGTTTTCAAACAAAAGAATGGTCTTGTGGTGGGAACCAACACCCCTAAAAGAAGGCTGCTGGTTTTCACCCTCTGATTGCTTCTTTTCATCTGCTTAAAGCAAGACTGAAAAGAAAACAAGCCTGTGAATAGAAAAATGAATACCACAGAGCAAATGCCCTTAAAAATGGTGACTTCTGGGCAATGCAGTGATGGGTCTCTCAGTGCTAGGTCTACCTCCCTGTACCAAAGCACCCAGCAGAGTAAAGTAGCCTCCTCCTTGGCAGCAGTCATAGGAGTGCCCTTGCTACATACAACCCTCCTAACCACTGGGCATCCTTTTTTCTCAGTCTTTGTAGACAGTGTATAAATTGAGTACAGAAACAAATGAGGACAGTGACATTAAGCAGATCACCTCCTCACAGGGCAAGCATTTTTTACCCTTTGGTAGGTCTTACCATAGCAGATTTAGCTCCTCATACATGCAGCAGTTAGAAATAAGATACTACCCCAGCCACCATGGCAAGGGGTCGTGACTGTCTCAGAAACAATGCATCCCTTCTGTTACCAAAATTATGTCATCATTAATTGCTTTATTCACAAAACTCCTCAGATCTACACTGTCTAAATGTTATCATTCAGGTTCAAGCAACTAATCTACTTAGCTTCCTGCAAGTTTTCCAATATCCGAGCTGTCTGAGCCAGAGGAATGCTTACAGGGATTTTACTTTTATTTTGACACAGAAAGAGCTCTGAATTTCCTATGTTTTAGTGAATGCACTGGCAAATTCACTGCTGGAAGAGATGGAGGGACATCATCTGAGATAAACAACAACTCCACCCCAGTCAGACACGAGACAATGAAACCCAAGCACCCAGTGAAATGCATCATCCCTTTGCCAACAGATTCCAGCACAAATTACAGTGATGTTAGTAGAGAGCTAGCTGGTTAGTCAGCAAAGGAAGGGGAAATGTGTACACACACACAGGTATTAACAGCAACCACCAACTTGATTAGTTACCATGGTGTCTAGTGGGACTGGAAGAGAAGACCCAGCCCTGTTACATTCCCAATCTGGCGTCTATATCAGGATCTCTGTAAGGAGAGGAAGGTAAGCAGGATCCGATCCCAGCACACCAGGGCAGAAAGAAAACAAAACAAAACAAAAAAATACCCAAGTCAGAGCATGAATGGAAACTGTGGCCATGCAGGGGTTCCAGATGCCACGCAGGGCCCCAGCCCACCTCAGTTCAAGGCAGAATGGTTATCTAGGAGTAAGTGCTTCTCTCCAGCACCACACACCGGGTTAGCATCATGTGGAAGACAGTCCGTAAGTTTGGAGGGGGTCACAGCACACTTGGCTTCCTTCTACACATCATGCAGAGCTGGCATGGTCAGTGAAAGCAGGATTTAAACCTCAGAGATTACTTTCCCAAGAGAGTAGTTTAATCTGCTACAAGAAATGACAGTGCATCAACTACTGCTCCAGGCTCAGCACCTAGGTGTGTCCTCCAGCAGGAAGGCACTGGAGAGCAGGTCAGTGGGAAGCAGGGCAAGCAGGCCACCTCAGGCACACTGCTGGGGCATGACACTGCAGGGTTCTGTCCAGTTCTTAGGGGAAGGACACATGCAGAAAAGGGAAAACCAGGCTTTCCACACAACTCTGAGCACACACAGCCACCCTTGCTGTATTTAGCCTTACCAGTGGGCAATAGCCAACTCACTTTGTCTAAGCTCTCCAACTGGGAAAAGGACAGGGCAAAGTTTAATTTGGAAATCCCCACAAGCTTATTTTTGGAGTTATTTTCTTTTATCCCACAGGCAACCCAAAGAACCTGCAATAAGCAGGAATATTTGTTGGGCAAAGAACAGAAGAAACTTGTATGTTTTAGGGTTGTTTCTAAGACTACATACATAATTTTCATTCTTTCTTAGAGAAGCAAATTACCAGCTAATTAGAGAGGAGAAAAAAGGAAGCACCTCCTCCACCAGCAGCAAGTTTCATCACCACAGGATTCTCATCTGCCTTTGTCAGTTCTTGTTGCTTTTTCATATGCCCACTCAAAGAACTGTGCTTCACTTTGGGTTTATTCTCCTAACACTAAAAACCCTGCAGGGATACTAACAGTTAACAAAAAACAGACAGTGAATGAGAATGGATGCAGAGTGGCTACTCCTTCCTTACTTTCAAGTGTGGTGATGAAGGAGGTTTTGACAAGTATTTTGGTCCAGGCTTAGGAGGCAGACATTGGTAACAGAAAAATCCAGTCCTAATCTCAACACACAGCACTCCTTAAAAGTGCATGTGTGGTGCTTTTCCTTCGGAGGGGTAAGGAGAGCTGGAGGGAACAGATCAGAGCTAGAGTGTCTTGGATTAAATGCTCTGAGGGCATGTATCCCTGTGTCTGGGGATCAGCTCCAACACCTAGTGATTTTCAGGTGCAACTCATGGTCAATAGGTCTCTTCAAGCTCAGTACAGAGGTAACCACTAAATGCAGATGATCACAGTTCCACATGACCATAGCTATCTCTAGCTGTGATTGCCAAGGCTTGGCTGAAACAACTCCTACCCCCCTTTAAGCCCTCCCTCTGAGCCTGCTGCTGTTCCTCACATCAGCCAGGGGTGAGGAGGGAGATCTCTTACCCAGAGTATCGTTTTTTAGAGTTGTTCTTTCTGATGACAAGACACACGACAATAGAGATGAGCGACGAGAGCCCCGTGACCGTACCGATGGCGATCCCCGCCACGGTGGCAATGGGGAACGCAGGCAGGCTGTCTGCGGAGAGAAGGGAGAAAACATTCAACTCTTCTGCATCCCTGCTCAACACAACTGCAAGCCACAAATGCCCCTGAGCCTGGGTTCATCTAGAGCAGGAGGCACTAATGTAATACCCAGAAATTACAGCATGCAGCCTGAGTGGCAGTGGCAGCAGGCAGCCAGCAGAGTAACACGAACAGAGCACACACCAGGAGTGTTCTTAGTGTCACCGTCCTTCAGGAGAGAGTTCATGTTGAACCAAAAATTTTTACACGTCAGGGAACACAAGTGACAATGAGGACAACCCTGTCTCATATTGTATCTGAAGGGGAAAAAAACCAGGTTACAGCCATCTGGCAATTCCCAGCGAGGTCAACAGGAAGAGGCAGGCACGCTTGAAAGCAGATTGAGACACAGCACATGGCTAACCCACCAGGAGTGCTGAATGCTGGGTGTTCTCCAGGGAGCATGCAGCACACAGCACAGCTCCCACCCAGCATCACCCTTAGCAGTGTTTATACATGACTCTGCTGTCTCAAAACACAGCCCTGTACATTTTTATAGACTCATTTTTGAACCTTCTTAAGTCAGGATCATTGTACAATACCAGGAAAACATGTAGAAGAACACAGTGTTGCTTTACTCACGTTTTCCCTAATATTATTTTGGGGGAGAGTAGGTCAAAAAAGAGCAGCCAGAAACAAAAGCCAATCAGAGAATGAGTACAAAATACCTACAAGTCAAAGAATACACAGACTACCATTACAAATGAAAAACTAAGTCCTTTCCTTCCCCCCACATCATGTTAACACAAGGAACATCTCTGTCCAGAGGGTTTCTTACAAGACTCCATGCTGCTCTAGCTGCTTATACCAAAACCAAGTGAATCAACAAAAACTCCAACAAGTAAAACCTACACCTATATAGAAAAATCTGTTTCAGACACCTCCATCGAATCATCATAGAATTGCTGAGATGGAAGGGAAGTCTTGAGATTGTCTAGTCCAATCCCCTGCTTAAATTAAGCAGGGCCAAGTAGCACAGTTTGCTCAATGCTCTGTCCACTTTGGATTTGACTGTCTCCAAGGACAGGAGACTCTTCAGGCAACCCAGCTGTCATGGCTTGACAGTGGCCCTACACCAGGCACCATGAGAGTCACAGGCTCACCCTCCCCTGCCACAGGTGGGCAAAGGAGGGAAAAGGAAAAAAGTTAACAAAGGTTTCATGAGTGAGATAAGGACCAGGAGAAGCATTTCAAGGGCAAAACAGGCTCAACTTTAGCTGCAATGTGAAATGCATTAGTAACAGAGTCAGAGAAGGATACTGAGAAGTAAAATAAGCCCTTAAAATACCTTCTCCTCCCCAGCCCCTCCCTCCTTCCCACTCACAGCACAGAGAGACAGCATGGGGGTTTTGGTCAGCCCTTCACCAAGATTTTCTTCCACTGCTCAGGGAGTGGAATTCTTCTCCTGTGAGGCTGTGGGATCCCTCCCACGGGGGACAGCTCTCCACGAGCTTCTCCAGAGTGGCTCACTCTCACAAGCAGCAGCCAAACCACACCTGGTGCAACGTGAATTCCCCCACGGGCAGACTGTCCTCCCAGAACAGCTGTGACATCTCTCTTTCCATGGGGTACAGTCCTCCAAGGACAGGCTGCTCCAGCCTGCAAGCAGGGCCCTTTCTCTCCACCAGGTCTTTCACTGGATCACAGCCTCCTCCAGGCATCCACCCACTCTGGCATGGGCACCTCCTACAGGGGCTGTGGGTGGATCTCTGCCTCCCCTGTGGATCTCCATGGGCTGCAGGGGCACAGCTGCTTCACCAAGGCCTGCAGAGGAATCCTGGCTCTGGCACCTGAGCACATCCTTCCCCTCCTTCTCCACTCACCTTGGTGTCTCCATGTTGTTCCCCCTCATATAATCTCACCTCCTCCTCTTCTCTGTCTAGGAGCAAAAAACCCTGTGACCTTGTTTTGATTTTCTTCTTAAATATGTCATCACAGAGGCATTACCAGCCTCTCATGGGCCCAGTTTTGGCCAGCAGCATGTCCATCTTCTGGGCCATCAGCCATTGGGTCTGCTGGACACGGTGGGAAGCTTCCAGCAGCTTCTCACAGGAGATATCTTAGTGGTCCCCTGCTATATCCAAGCAGGCAGTGCCAAACCAATCCACTACCTACCATGTAGGTACTGCAGTGAAAAGCAGCTCAGTTAGTTTGGCAATTTTTTAAAATGACGCCACCATGGAACTTATTAAATGCTTAATGCAAAACCTAAAGCTAACCTATCATCTATCAGCTCATTTAAATGGGCAAAGAATGAATATGGCTTTGAACAGTTTATACCACCAGATGTACAATTCAGAACCATTAGAGGCACGCACAGTAAAAAACCAATGTGCACAAATGTCATCATGTATTTATTCCAATTGAAAACATTGCTCCAGCTCAGTTCAGGATGAGTTACAACCTATTACAAGAGCTTGGAAACACATTTTCAGTCATCCTAAAAATGTGAAGAGAACTGTTGCAGCATTTTCTCCAATGGTGAGAAGTGTTTCAAATACAGGGCTCCATTCAGAACCAGATTCTCTTCCAGGTGCCCCACCTATGGGGAAGCCAGCATGCAAGTCTGTTGAAAAATATCAGCTGAATTAGTGTACTGAGGTCAGTCTTAGCTGCTTAACCTGGACTAAAATCTGAAAAGGCTTTTCCAAGCCAGCCTGACTTTGCCAAACCAGCAGCTGCTTTACTGCTTCTTCATAGTGACAATCATTGTGAGAAAATAAACAGATCCTATTTTATACAGGCCTCAAACTTTCAAGAAACAGAAAGTTATAAGTGATAGCTGGACCTCCAGAGGTCCTGCTCAACCCAAACTGTTCCATGAAGAGAAAAATTAGGTAGAGATCTTGCCTAGATAAGAACATGGAATGACCTCCTGAGCAGGGGTACACACCTGCTCTAGCAGCAGAATCATTCCAATTAGGACACACAGACAGGTATCTTCCCTAACTTATTAAAACAAATGGAATGCTGCATCAGCGCTGCCATTTATGAACTCAACATTTATTCTTGTCCTTCCTGAATTATAAATTTGAAATGCAATTACTGTAACAACCATTTCATTGTACAAAACATCACCTTTTGGCTGACCTCAAGTTGAGCAATCCAATGTTTTGGATGATAAAGGCAAATAAAGAGCCAAATTGAGAAACAGAATCTTAGTGCTCTTCAACTGTGACAAATGTTGCCAAATGCTAACCAGAAGCCTCGTGTAACTACAAGTAGCCAGGCTCTGAGGTTTTTAGGAGCCACCATGGATTCTTTGAACACCTGAGTAAAAGAGACTGAATGCACACTCAACACAAATACCTTTGCATGGAACACAGTAGCATTTCACTTTCTGTCTGTTTGGATCAGATGTACAGTTTTGCACTCCATTAAGTATACCAGAAGGGTTTCAAGCAAGCAAGGGTTTTCTCCTTGCTCACCAGACTTCATAAGTCACCCTAACCCTTGAAGCAGCATAATGCAGGAAATATATTCATAGGACTTCAAAATGAGAAAATGTGTTTTCATTAAGCCTTCCATCAGCTTTTCCTAGTAATTGTTTAAACCACAGGAATCAGTGGGCATAGAGGAAAAGGGTATGACACACAATTTTAAAACAGCTAACAGATACTGGCTCCATTATTAGGACCTGGAAGAAGAGAATTAAAAACCAGTTGTTCCCTCCAGGCCACTCCCCCACCCCCAATAAAAGTGATTTAGACAAGGAATGGAGGGGGGAAAAAAACAAGTGAGAAGGAAAAAAATCATATAGGGTGAAGGAATGAATACCTTTCTCCACAACTCTAACTCGGATTTCTCCTGGTTTGACAACAATGTCAGGTGGGTTCTTGACATCACAAATGTACGTGCCGTTGTCCCGGAACTGCATGTTTGATATTGTGATAGAAGCATCTTTCTTGTTAAGATCTCCAGCCCAAGTGATCCTGTCTTTAAATGGTATGTCTTTTCCAGGGTATGACTTCCCATTAGAGTAATAGAAAAACTGCAGTCAAGGAAAAGAGGATACAAGAACAACCCAATTAGCAAGTACAGAGCCACTGTGCTTCTCCCACTATTCCAGCACTCTCCCAGAGCCAGCTGTGTTACCAAACCTCAGCCAGTAGCTGAGGTTTTTTCTCCTCCTGCCTCACCACTTCTGTGGTCTATCAAGTCTGCCTTGTTGCCTCTTGATAACACAACCATGTTTGTACCTCAATCACACCAGAACAAGAGACTGCCAGTTTCAGTTTTCTGCTGGTTTTGATTTGTTTTGTGGTTGGATTGGCTGGAGCTTTTTTCTGTTTTGCAGGGGACCGAGTTTTGCAGACAAGGAAGTGGGGGAAAGAAAACAACCTGGTAACCTGATAATAATTAAAGGACAGAACACTCCTGGAACACAGCCATCTGTCTTTCAGGCACAGGAAGCCGCCTGCATCCTAGCAGAAAAAGGATACCAAGTTTCCCATTTGTGTTTTGCTGTGTGTTACTTGCAACTAAAGCACAGCTAAATTAACATGCAATACTCTCCCTTCCTTCCACCCCCTCAGAAAATCCCATGACCAATTTAGAGTATATCTAGCTGTTTTGCAGAAACCTTCAGGTAACTAAATATAACTGTTTCCCAGTTTTTAAGTGACTAAGCTGCACATTGGCTCTGCATTCCCTATACATGACCAAAAATCTTGGAAGAATAAACTTCCTTAGTACAGGCTAAGGAGGAACTGAGTATTTCCTAACCATACCTGCCCAAAATTGGAATTTACAGCAGTAGAAGTGCATAGACTTCTACAGGACAACTCTGCCTTCAAACACATGGGATACCCTAAGAGAGGCATCAAGGCTGCAGGAGAATTGCAAGAGCACATTCTCTCTTAATTGGATATTCCACAGGACAGCAAAGTAAATCTCATCAGGAATCAAGCTGAATTCCCTTCAGTTCAGTCTCCAGAGAACAATGAAAGAAATTCAGGACAATATTCCAGCCTCCTCTTCCTCCTGCCTTATTTACAAAGCAGTGGCTCTGCCACAGAACAGCCTGCCTACTGCCCCATATTTCCATTCAAGTCACCTTCTATCCTTTTTCCTGCCCTTGATCTCAGGTTTGCTATTCCAACACCCTCTCTATCAGACCTGCAGTCTGAATATCAGGCCTTATCACTTGGCAGCACAAATCTTGTTCAGATCAGGTATGTGCACATCATGGCCATCTGTCCGACTTGCAGGCAATCTTATTTGTTGTCTACAGATTAACATAAATTCAATGAAGTATTTCATGTGGTGGAAAGCTGGCAAGCACACAGCCAGCTGTCAACATTTTGGAGGGACCCTGCATCAGTCTGCAGCTTTTCCAGCTGGATTGTAACCTTTAACACAGCAGCACTGCATTACCACACCCCTGTGCACAGGGGAAGCCATCCCACTGAAGTCTAAAATGCCAGAGGCAGATTCCTCAGCTCTCTAGATGTCCTGACCTGGGGGAGGAGAAATCACAAAGTAAAACATGTCCTGAAACAGAAGTGAAGTGCCTGAAGCCATCCCTTGCCTGTGGTGGAGTGAGATGAGCCTTTGGAACATGTGGTGAGGGGAGGGGACAAGCAGGAGAAGCTCCCAGTCGAGGCAGCTTCACCACATGGCCACAAGATTGCCAGTGTGATTCCAAAGGGACACAGATCACCCTTGTAAAGAGAAGCATGGGCTTACCTCAGACATAAGCTGAGCATGAGATTGGTCTTTCAAATTCACACCCACCAAGCTATGCAACGCCATGACTCAGGCTCATAAACAAACATCCCCTCTACACTTCCCCAGACCCTCCAAAGAAACAGGGAATTGACATCAAATTATGCTGGGTCCCTGCAGCTCAAAGAAAATTTGCTTTTCTTTCAGTTGTGCTGATGGCTACATCCAGGTGGAACACCAGAACTGACTTCAATTCCAAAAACAATGTTATGTGCTGAAGCTGTATTCCTACAAGTGAGCAGTGATGCAGAAAGGGAACGGCAGAACAGGATATATGGGGAGCGGAAATGCACCAACAGATGGCTTCTCTTCACCCATCCTGTCCAGCACTGGCAGGAAATGTGCCCCACTTCCCTTACTTCTCCCCAGCTCCTGCTTTGGAGTTGGGAAGAGCTCCCTCTTCAAAACTAAATATTTACTTCACTGAGAATTCAGAAGCTTGTCCTTCAGAACTCTGTACACCGAGCAAGATGCTCACACACTGGTTTTGACCATCTCTGAGCACTGAAGAGCTCCTAGAGTTTACATGAGCTCATGTCTGTGGCAGAGGGAGGGAGACAAACACAAACAGGCTGAGCAACCTGCTGTCCCCACATCTTCAAAGGCGTCCCAGAGTTCCATGTTCTGCTTCCTCTAAATTCTCATTCACTACAAGGAACAAGAAAGAAGCACAAGTGTCTGAGGAAGGAGAGGAAGAAGACAGCTATCAACCTACCAAAGCCATTTCTTTGAAGATTTACATCCAAAGGATATGAGCCCCCTTGGGCCCAATATACAGGAACTGAGCCATGACAAATATTATTTGCCTAAGTTCCTTGCTAGCCTGATTTTTCATTCGTCAAGTAACTATAATATGAGGATATAACTGCTTCCTGATTTGAGCTATTCAATTCTTTTCTGAAACCAGGGAGACTGGTCTTACTTTAAACCCTCTCAAACAGAGGCTATACAGTACACAAGCAAAACAAACAATACACAATGCAGGACTGCAATTACAGAGGTAATGCAAATTCTCTGACTGCTATGTTCAGCCAAATGCAAAAGGATGGAGGATTTACAAGATTCCTAGATGCTCATCTACCTCATAACGTACAGCTTCCATGTCAACATCCCTCTTTTAAGAATAACAGAGTAACTAGAATATTCTGTGGTCACTGCCCACTGCAGTCTTGGCAGAGATCTAGCAATATTTTCATACAGCACTATAAAAGCTCCCTAAAATCACAGCGATGGAGATAAGGCCCACGAAGGAGGGTCCAATCCATATCTGCTTCCTCCTTAGCACCAACCAGAAGACCAGAGCTCAGCTATGCCAGCCTCCCCTCCCAGGTGTGCTCCCCTCCAGCCATTGCTTACTGAGATACGAGTGGCTGCTCCCTCTGGCTGGAAGCTCCAGGACACAGATGCTGCACTGCTGATCACCTCTACGGATGTGAACGTGCACGGCAGCTTGGCGTCCGTCCCGTTCTCCACAAACATCTCCTCCGGGGTGTTCACCTCCACTGCTGACACTTGCACTGCATGGCAAAGGGAAGAAAGGAGGAGAACAAGACACATCAGTGCTGCTTTGAGAACGAGCAAGTTCACATCACACTGCCTACAGGGGCAGGAGACAAGAGGCATCAGTAACTCCTGCGTCGGGTGACTGCACAGACATTGCATTATACCTGCAATCAAACAAGTACAGAGTAGGCCAAGCACATTCACTTCTCCTTCCTTGTATTATCTGTGACAGGATGTTTTCCACTCACAGATGTTTCCCCTACAACACTTTGTGGAAGTCAATTCTATGGTGCAAGGGATGAGTTTAATGCTTTTTCGTACCAGCTGACAGCAGGCATTGTAATAATTAAGCCTCATCAGAGGAACTAACAGCCTGGCCCAGCTATTACTCAGTTTCCTTTCTGGCACACATCTTGTTTCACATCTCCAGATTTTCCTAGCTGTAGGTAAAACAAAGGCTCACCTCCAGAAAGCTGAGGAGCAAACTTCTCTCACTTACAGCTATGCCTCTACTCCTGCTCTCTGCCATGCTCCCAGGTCTGCATGTGCAAGGCCTCACAAATAATCTCTGTTATAGTTCAGAAGCACAAGAGTAGTTTAATTTTTTTCTACCTTCTGCACAGCAAGCAGACCACAACCACCCCCTAAATTTAAAGTAATCAGTGTTGATATTGTGCTTGCACTGGTAGTTTTCCTAACAAGTCATATTCATGATGATTTAGAAAACATGTTGAAGATATGCTTTATCTAGCACCTTCTACACTGCCAAGGCACTATCCCTATCTAGATTTACACAGATACATCTCTACATTCATTCAGATTTATGTAGAAAAGCAAAGCATGATCTTGGGACATCACAAGAGAATGTCAGTGCTCATGTCACATCCACGTGAAAGCAAAAATCATGTCAGGTCAGTGCAGGTGGGTGCATATGAAATGTGTGTTCCTGGTACCTCAAATGTAAGTTTTGATTTTTATTAAACTATGATTTTCAGCACAGAGATGGTAACAGCAATCTACTTCTGTTCATAGGAGTCTATGTTTCTGGGCTGAAGCACCTTAAATCCCCTTGTTAGAACAGCAGAACAAACCTTCCTGCTCCATCAGTACTTCAGCTGATTTGCTTCTCAGTTTTGAATAAAGTAGCTCATACTAGGCAGACCAAACAGAAGGATGCAAGTTGAAGACTGTTCAGATAAACTAAAGAAAAGAAAAACCCACCTGTTGTACTTTGGACCTGATTAACATAGAAGATTTGATAATCAAGATGCCTTGGCAAGAACAAACAGAGCTTTGAAGACTACCAGAAGATTGAATCAAGATTGGCTGGCAGGAAGACTGAATCAACTTCTGCAAGCAAGACATGTTGCAAACTGTATGAGTTTATTTATGGGATGACTAACCAATCATTGTAGTGAAAAATTACTAGCCTTCCTAGATGGCATATAAGCATATGTAGTCCACAATAAATTTGGATTCTGATCACCACTCAGTCCCCTGTCTCTCATGATCACCAATACTCACCTACCTTAGTCCTTAAAACATGAAGTTTGAGTTTTTAGTCAGTGACAGCAAGCAGCTCTGCAGCCCTCAGAAGTTGGACAGCAAACACCTGACAGAATGGGCATGCAAGCAGGGGTGGGAGGAGCACATCACAGTAATTGCAATAACCAAAACCAGAAGAAACCATTCATTAATTCTGCTGCTCAGACCCCACACTGTTCACTTCCAAAATTCACTAACTCCTCTGTCCCATCAGGTTCTCTCTTGATACCTCAAGATTCTCCTCTCATCACTGCTCTCATTTCCAAGAGAAAAAGCACCCAAAGGGGGTGGGGAGTAGGGATGGTGAATTTTCCTCATGAGGTTTTTTCAGAGCTTCCTTTCTCTTGTACATACTCTGACTATGGGCCAAAAAATATTCTCTTGTAAAACAACTACCAAACATTTATTTGGAACATACAAAGACTTCTAGCAACCAAATTAAATGAACTGAGAGCTGCTGTGCTTTATGTATTTTTTCCAGCTAATAGTGTAGAAAAGAAAAATAAAATAAAATCCATTGTAGTAAGTCCAAACCACAGAACAAACCTCTCTTTCAACCATAAAATAAGCAAGATGCCCTCAGTATTCGTGTAGGAAGAAAAGAGCCTGCACAGACACTGTCTGCTTGTACACGGTACAGAGAACTCCTTGCCACACACAGGCAGTGGGTAGCACAGATCTGCCTAATCTAAAGAAGTCACTGTTCTCACTAGAACTGTAGTGAAGCAAAAAAAAAAAAAAACCAAAAAAAAAGGACTTCTCCCTACTTCTTCCCTAGTCTGGGGAGGAAGGAACTGTGTAATCCTGTACACATATTTCTATCAAGTTATCAAGTTTAATTTTCATCTGTCCTATTGCTGGCTCAATTTAATGTTCCTCTTTGCTGATTTCTCCCCTCTGCCTCTTTCACGGCTTCAAAAATTGTTTTCCTGCTTCTGTTGCCTTACAGCATGAGACACAGGCTCCTTAAATCATAACCTGACTATTTGGCAGAGAGACCTCAAGATTTGTCAGTTGTTCACCCTCAGCCCTCTGATCCCATACTTTTACTGATATGGTGGCTGTTCCCACTGCCTTGAACTCTTTGGCCTCCTCTGTCATAATAAAATCCACATGGATCATCTCCAGCTCTAGCTCTTTTCCTCCTCTTTGCACATTTACCAGGATTACATCCACCTTCCAGCTCCTACACCCATATAAATATTCCAGTTGGAGAAAGTTGAATTTTGAGTCATATTTCAGTCACACTTAGCTACTGCTCTATTCCTCAAGCTTACTCAGCCTTAGTTCCTCTCAAGAGGAAAAAATGATCACAGGAAACTGTCTGAGAGAGAAGAGTGCTTTAGGAAGGGAAGGTCATCAAGGTACAAAGAGCAAAAATAAATATTTGCTCTTCTCCCATGCATCCTCCTTGATCCCATCACCCTGTCCAACTGCCCATAGCTCCACTATTTCCTTCTGAACATCTCATTTAGCCTTCAGTTGCTTTTATTCTTTTCAGCAGAAAAATGGCTCTCATTTTCTCACCTATCATCAAAATAATTTGAAAAAAAAAACCACCTGTGCCTCTTCAGCCATTTATTTTAAATCTCTAGTGTTGTTCACTCATATTCCTACTAACTTACTGATCTTTTCTTATTTTTCCACCACAGATCTTCATTCTTCACCAATGTTCTCTCTACTCTCAGGTCTCTCTTTGCTCAGTATCTTGCCTCAGAGACCTCATCTGCCCAACAAGTTCAAGCTCCCATCCCTGCACTGACTGCTCAGATCTGTGTCTCTGCTCAGGATCTGTCTCCTTATGCTCTAAGAACAGCCTCAGACTGACATCTTTGTCAGTGCTGTCAGCTCACACTAAATGGGACTAAAGCAGAGCTCAGAGCCCTCCACAACTGCTTTTACCACCATGGACCTGCCATGTGTCTCTCCAACTCAACACCTGTGCAGCACTTCTGACTTTGAACTCTTCCCAGGTCAAGGCAGAGTCTTTCAGAGTTTCCAGTCACCTGTTCAGCTGACACCAGAGTAAAACCTCCAGTTTGTACCTTGGCCTTCATTATTGTGATGTCCTTTTTGCTCTGGACAGATGGACAGTTATTGGTCATGATGAGAAAGACTGACTGGTGATCAAAATCCAAATTTACTGTGAACTACACATGTTCATATACTATTCTAGGAAGGCTAGTAATTTTTTACTACAATGATTGGGTTGATCATTACATAAATAAACTTACACATTTTGCAACACCTCTTGCTTGCAGAAGTTGATTCAATCTTCTTTCCTGTCAGCCAGTCTTGATTCAGTCTTCAAAGCTCTGTTCTTGCCAAGGCATCCTGATGATCAGATCTCTTATGCTAATCAGATCCAAAATACTCTGTCTTGGGTGCCCCAACAGACAGTGCCAGAGCAGTAAGTGCTGCAGCTCCTGGTAACCAAGCTGCTCCAGGGGTGACATCACATGTGCAAGATCACTGCTAGTGGGAATGACACCAAGCACCCATCCCTGTTTCAGTATGAACACACTCTTGTCCCCAACCACATTATAGTATTGGTCTCATCCAAAACTTTTCAAATCCTAACTGTAGCACCTCCTCCTAAATGCTGTCCCTCAGGCTTGGGAGGATCTGCTCAAAACCTGCAAAATCCTTTCACTTCCTTGGAGCCCCCCAAAGCAAGTGGTAACTGCATCTGTATGAATCCAACAGTGCCTAAGCTGCCAGTGCTTGGAGATCAACACCTTTTAAAACTGAACTCATCTTTTCCTACTTTTACTTGTACTCCCTGGTTGCTAGCACTTGCCTCCGTGATTTTTTTTGTAAATATTTTGGGCAAGAATTGTTTTTATTCTACATTTTTATGTAGAAATATGGTTGACCATTTGGTTTGGTAGCATATCACAAAGAAATTCTTCTGTGCACCAAAGTTTTACACTAATTTACACGTAGATAATTAAAACTTCTTTGCAGACCACTGTTTCTACTGAGATTATGGATCCAATGAAAACATTATTTTAATTAATACTGTGAACACACCAAAATAAACTCAATTCCCCTGCATTCAACTCAATTTGATCACTAAGAGACCTAACAAACCAAGAACACAAACAGCTAGCCCTGTAATCACAGGCATGTTATTTCTACCAGCACAAACACAGCCCACATGGAAACTTTCCTCACACTGCTAAATACAGGATGCTTATGGCTGCTACCATTCCCATCCTACTCCAGCAAGAGTGTTATTCCCCTCTTTTTGAAATGGCCAATCATCAGTTTATTAATTAATACAAGCAACTTGCTTTGCTTATCTTAAAGGCACCTGGTAGTACAGCCATGTATACAATTTATAAATGAAGTCGCTTATGGATGTGAGGTCTTGACAACATTCAGTGTTTCAGCGTCTTTCAGAAAATTCAGGGTTTCATTATCTTCACTCTGGTCTCCCCAGCAGCCCAGAAGTTTCATCAGAAAGAAGGATGTGCTTTTTTCTAAGGGCCTAAAGTCACAAAAACAATACACACTTGAGAATCGGTGCTTTCATTAACAAATACTCTTACTCAATGTCAAGTGTCTTGTGAAACACCTCCTGTTGACAGCATTCTCAACTAGGGTTGCAT